ACATACGTTTTGTTAGTGGTCAGAACGAAGCTCGTTAAAAAGCCCGCATCCTTGACTGACAAAAATTCAGAATTGACTTTGCGATAATCAGTATCACAATGTAAGTCAATGCCCATTAGCTAAAGAGTACCAATCTTCCGCAGTTGTCGGTAAGTTGCACGACTTCTGGCGTGTACTGTAGTAAAAAATTCTCGAAGTTGAGCAACGGCTCGGAAGCAGTGACAAAGAACTGCCCTTGTCTTCACCGAGACGAAGCCGCTTGCTGGCCGTACGTTTAAATGAAATGCTCGTACACTGTGAATGAAAAAATCACGGATTATGCATTATTCTTAATGATACTCACACTGAATATACTAAACTTCTCTGCTTCGTGAGTGCGTAAAAAGATTGAGTGTTTGGATTTTGGGGCTTCTGTAGAGTAACTGTTATTTAAATACGGGCATCCAAAGAGATTAAATTTTAAAAAATAATTGCTTCTTTATGAAATTTGAAACTTTAATGAGTCGACTTTCGAAAGTGGTTCACCAGCTCGTCTTCAGACCTGAACAGTTAAAATTTTAAACGTGCAGTTAATAAGCAAGTCAAGTCAATAAAAATCTGACGTGAGTACCGATTGGCACATGTGGGCTATTTCAGTCTATGCCAGTAGGCGTTACATGTATTTCGTCCTTCAGTCGTGGTTGTCGCGCGCGTTGAATTTGGCCTTGAGATTACTATAGCTGTCATCCAAATCGATAGGCCTGTTGATGCACGCCTCGTTTGGGTGTATTTCTTCCAGGAATTCCTAGCCTTTTTTAGTTGGATAAGTGCCAACAACCCACGTGTTCTCCCATGCAAATTTGTGGCCGCTTTCCAGTGTGTGTTTAGTGGTCTCTGCCGGCCGACGACCCCATGGCTTTGTCCGGCGTCATTGGTCAAGGCCAGCTGCCTCAAGGGCATCAATTATCTCAGTCAGCGCTTACAGACGCGCTGACCTGCGAAGACTTGACCTACTTCCACTCGGACACATACAAGTGCGTCTAAATTCTCGCGGCTGCCCAAGCACCACTTAAACATGTCTCTTTTTCCCCACCCTCGGCCGGCAGACATCACTGCGGATCACTCCGCTCTAGTGGAAGGTCGTACTCTCCGTATTCAATCTCTTTCCTTCTATTCTTCATTCCTTAGTGTACACAATAAACTATTCCTACTATTCTGGCCTCCACTGACTTCCTCTCTACTAAGTAACCATGGTCTGAAGATCGCAATTGCTAGGGTTCAACTATCTTAACCCCCTGCGATACGTGCATGGTCACCTGGGATAAATGGTCTCGTCTTCTGACTACTGATTGGTGTTGGTATATGCTGGTTGAGGCAAATATCCCACCTTAGCCACAATAAACCGCATCACAAATGGGACACGGGATCTTGTAGAAAACACCTTTTCTTTCAAGGTAGCGAATCTTGTGCTTAGGATGTAAAGGCTGTGTTTGTAAGGTCGTTGCAGGTTTGTCTGCCACTCGTATCTAAGAAGCAGCAGAAGGGCAGGCCAAACTGAATCCTCCACCTAAATGACAAAAGTAACAATGTTTACCATTTAATGGCTAAACAAGAGGAAACGCCTCAAGAGAAGAAGGTTATTCAAGGAGGACAGGCTGGGAAAAATCTCGGCGATGACTCTGCAGCTACTGCCACAGGACAAATGTTCAAGCCACAAACTATTGACATGTACGATATGAGCCGTCATGCGACAACTATTCGATTGTACACAACGAAAATTATACATTTTCCTCAATGTACACTGAAGATGAGAGATGTTCTTGACATGGATCCCGAAAAAGACAAAGTATTCATCCTTGATAATATGCTTATGGAACCATCCATACGACTATTCTTCAATGTTCGAGAGTGGATAGACGATTTCTATTGGGACAGTATGAAGTTGGCACTCTCTTACTACCCTATGTCGAGAGTACAGAGATTCAAATACCGACTTTCACTACTCCGTTGCACGGTATCTAGACAAATGCCAGCTAATATTACGACACGAACAGTCACTGGAGAGGATTCTAAAGGTCCTATTATGATACTGCACGACAGAAAAGGAAACTTTAACTACATAAACTACGGACCAAAAGATGATCACAGCAAAGATGCCATGGCTGGCACAACCCTGATTGAACAGTCTGTCGTTTATGGAGGTAGGAAATGGTAGGAAATCCTCTGGCCTGATCTGGTGAACAGTGGTGCAATTTTTTTCGACAAGTTCAGACACCAGGTTTTTGTTTTCGATACCTGAGTTGCCTCCCTCAACTCCCTCAAGTCGCACCGTTAACCAGCTTCAGTTCTCAGAACGGCTTTTTACCGACATGAATAAAACCTTATTTGATCACGAGCAAGAACTGACATGTCGTTATACCCCAGTGGCGTTGGCATCACA